TCAGTGCAAATAGATGACTTAAATTGACTCCTTTTTTCCAAGTGAATATCTTCACATATCCTACTGTTAATATGAGTCATCTATTTTCACCTATCAAATGGTCCTAAATCTGTGTACAATGAAAAGAGTTTTACATTGTGTAACTGGATCCTTTCCCTTAAAAAATTATCATTTTTTTTCAATCGTGTATAATATTTTCACTAAGGTTGGCTTTGGGTTGGGTTTAAGATTACCATGAATGCAAGATTTTGATATGAGATTATCATGTTTGGCGCAAAAACATATATGTTCATATTTGACTTAGAATGATGTAAGTATGATGGCATTTACATGTGACATGGTAATTATTATGGAATTATAAGGGTATATTTGACATTTTATATTTAATGAATTTATAATTCATTTTGATTATTTAAATGAAAAATGCCTTATTAGTTTAATATAGAATTTTCAAGATTTAAGTTCACTTTGCTTTCTATTGCCATGGCTTTTCTAAGAATGTGATCAAAATCGAGAACAAAGCAAGCCAAAAGCTAAGGACAAAGTGCAAAAGTGAGGATTATATAGTTAAATAAAGTTTGCAAGCTAAGTATATCAGGTGAGCGTATTACTATTTTTATACTATCGTATTTGGTATGAGGAGATAATATTTTATTTTATTAATCAAATACCAAAATGCTATATTCTTTCAAATGAACCATAAACATTTTGAATAACATGTTGAATATTTTTACATTGTGGTTCTTTATTTATTAAAATTAATCATTTTTAATAGTTTGAGTGATCATAAGATAATATTTTTTAGAATTTTTTTAATCATTGATAATATATACATCTAAAAATGTAATTACTCAAATTTAAAACTTGTAAAAATAATGATATTCCTCTTCATCTCCGAAGTCGATAGATTTTTACCAAAGATAATCGTAATATTTCATTAACCACGTGAGTTAATAAAATAACCCAAGAATATGGATTAGATTCCTTAAAACTTTATCCGAAAAAGCCCAAAGGAAGACAAAATATTTTTATAATGGACTCATCACCTTGAGGTGACGAGTTCATTTGGATATTATTTTTTAATGGACACCGATGAGTGAGCCCATGTGGGGTGTTGAAATACTATAATAAATGAGACTCGTCACCTCCATTAAATTTTTTTAAAAAAAATAAAAAAAAATTAAATTTTAAACCTTTAAAAAATTAATTGAACTCGTCACCTTCCATCAAATTCAAAAAATATAGTCGTTTATAGTCGTTGGTCAACGGGCAACAACAACAATTACTTGGAAAACGATCATCATGGAACTTGTCACCTAGAGGTTACGAGTTTCGTCGTATTAAAATTAAAATAAATTAATTTAAATATAAATTAATTAAAAAGTAAATTAATAATTTTATTAAAAAAAATATTTGCAAACTAGTACATAATAAAATTTATTTATATTTTCTAAGTTCTTGACGATACCGAGAAGTAGTTGAATGATAATGGCACAAGGCTCGTCGAGTACGTCAGTGTCGTCAGCCTTGATTGTCATCGTTTTCATCTTCATCTTGGTTTCGTTGTTCAAAAGGAAATGTACTTAACACACTCTGAGATCCATCTTCGAAATACGGTGATGTGCTTATGGTATTTGATTCGATCATTGTCGTTACTGAATCAACTTGGCTACTACTTTGTTGACCATATATAATATGATCTCATTCACCCTGACCCACATGTTCTAACTGTTGCTGTTACCCGTTAACCAATGGTTATAAATGACTATATTTTTTGAATTCGATGGTGACGGGTTCCATTATTTTTTAAGGTTTAAAATTTAAGTTATTTTCATAATTTTTTAAAAAATATTTTTAATGGAATCGTCACCTCCATTTATTACAATAATTTAATGCCTTACGTGGGGCCCACTCATCGGGATCCATTAAAAAATAATATCCAAGGGAACTCGTCTGGTGTACTATAGCATTTTCCCTATTGCCCAAAATAAAAAGCCGGGTGCCCTATAACCCGAAATAAATACCTAAATGACCTATTGGGCCAAAATAACCCAGAATCGTTGGTCTTAGTTCAATGTTTGGGCTCAAGTTATATATCAACCCACCTTGTCCGGTCGTAGGCCCCGACTCCTGTTAAAATTTATATATTCGATATAATTTTGGTTTAATAATATTTTGGTTCATGTAAAAATAAATATTTAAATTTAAAAATATTAAATATTTAATCAAGTAAGGGTTAAACTAAAGAATGATAAGTTTGTATTCTCAAATTTTTGGTCTAATTACAATTTAAGTCATTTTAAGTTTAAATATTAGACAAATTAGAAGTTGCTTTTTTGAGTTTTAAGTTTTGATTTATTTTTAATTTAGGGTGAATACAAGGTAATATATGGACAAAGACTTTTAACTATTTGACAATGAACGTTCATACCCCTATATACGTTCTTGAACTCGAGATTGTACAAAGACTTTCAAATATTTGACAATAAACGCTCGTACCCTTACATACGTGCTTGGACTCGGGACCTCAATGATAACAACAATCTCTTAAACAGTAAGGTTGCTTGTTCATGGTGAATTTCGAGTTTAAATACTTAGTAAGTTTTTATATATATTTTAAATAATCTAATATTTCGACCACTGTCAATATTTAATTCTGGCTCATGTCAATATTTAATTCTGGCTCCGATCGTGTGAGCTCGTGGCTGCCAACTTCCGGCGCCAGTCGTTTTCATTTCAAATAAGTTCAACCGCAAATAAGTTCAAACCCCAAATAGAAAATTCCACCCAAAATATTTTCCATTTCGTTTTCTTGTCATCCAAGCACATATAAACCTTGAGCCAGCTGCCGTCCGATACTAACAAAACCACCCGAACCAACTCCGACTCATCCCAAGTGCCGGCCCTGGCCCCTGTGATCGGAGTTTTGTATTTGTCGACGCAAAAGCTTGCTTTTTGTAGCGACAGTCCCGTCTTACCAAGCTGGTGCACAGACTCAATGGAACTACTATAAGGTATAAAGCCTTATACTATACCTCGCAATAGTTCGAATCGTTGTTTTTGTACGTAGATCGATGTCGGTATGATGAATTTTGGGGAAAAATCGAGCGTACCCCATCTGCAACTCCGATTAACAGGGATAAATGTGTTTGTACCTATACATATCTGATCTTCTTTGTTACGTAAACATGTTGTAATGTGTGAGTGAATCATCAACAAGCAAAGCCACACAGCTGAGAAATACATTCAGATTATATCGATTGACAGCTATGAATTTTGGTTCATGGGGTTTGTACACTACGACGGCGCCGTTAAAAATCTCCAGCGAGCGTTGCAGCCCCGTAGCTTGTAATGTCCCGGGAAGGTTACTTTGATGTAGATAGAACCGATGTTGAGCCAGATTTGCCATTGTTGAATTATCCTGCACATGTTTTACATTGCATTTATTTTGAGACACTTCGATATTCCATTGTTTCTTACACATCAATTTAATGTCAAACTCTTCATTAATAAAGTTCAATCCTTATAGGACTATTCTTATCTAATTGACCAACTACAATGGCTTTGAGTTTGGGGGCATAGTTTTCCTTTATGAGAGGATGATTGCATGATATCGAACGCCATGTTTAGTGTCAATCAAAAAAAAAAAATCAATATTTTTTTCAATAGTATTTGATTTATTAATCGATTAATCCGGATCGAGAATTGTAAAGGTCCGTTAATGCATTTGAGCATTGAATTAGACCTTTTAAAAACTATGAACAAAAATCGAATTAGACCTTTTAAAATAATTTTGGTCAAAGTTTAAAATATTGACTTTTGAACAATCTATAAGAGACAATTTTAATAGGACAGATGGAGCAATTTGATTCGATTATTAATTTCTTTTACTTTAACTTTAATTTTGACAATTAACTTTTATATAAAATAATTTTATTTTATTATTTTTAACATTACTTGATAAATTTTCCAACTGTTTTTAAATATAAAAACTTAAATTACATGTTAAATGATTTAAATTAATGATAATAAATTCGATATTCAAGTATATTAAACTTGTGAACTATAAATTGTTTAAGTGCCAGTTTAATATGACTTTTGAAAAGTAACTTTTAAAAGTATTGTAAAAACACACTTTTAAAAGTGTTGTACAAAAGTGTGATTTAAAATTTAACTTTTTGAAATTACGGTTCAAAAGTAAGTTTGAAAAAAATAAAATATCTATTATATACATTATATTGTAAATTAAAAATATAACATTTAAATTATATTTACGTTTATATTTGAATCATATTAATTTAAACTATAATATATGAATTATATAAATTTAAACTATAATAAAATATAAAAATACAAATAAAAATATAATTATGATAAAAATATATTTTATATAACTCACTATTAATATTTTAATATATAAATCATGAATTTTACTTATTTTTAAATAATTAAAATAAATTATTAAAAATAATAAATTATTTTTTAAAGATGTTAGTATTAAATTAGTAAAATAAAATGAAAATACATATTTGAGTGGAACTTATGCATTAATAAAGTAAAACTTATAATTTGTTTCCAAAAGCAAAGTTAAAAATGAAAAAGCTATAAATCCTAACTTTTACGGTTTATTTCAAACCATCATTTTCACTGTAATTTTTTTTTTATATTTTACTCGTTTGACATCGATTTTGCGGTTAAAACAAACTTTTTTTTTAACTAAAAGTGCTTTTAAAAAGTATTACCAAACGAACTCTAAATACGACGACTGAATTTGATTTTTTTTTCTCTATTTCTTAGCTCGGTCCTAAATATACCTAAGTAGAAAAAGTAGCCAAAATATTAAATAAAAAATAACATAATTTTAATCTTCTAAAGAAATAATCTAACCTGACTTGGACGACAGTCCATATTATCCTACTAGATGCATGTTCACCCCAAGTAATTATATTCATCTTGCTTTACCAAATTCAAAAGCGATGCAGTAACTGTGAAATGAAGATAAAAACAAAAACAAAAATGCTACCCTAATGAAAATCACTTACAAATTCCAAAAAGCGAGTTCAGCAAGGAGTATAGCATCATTGCCATGGGTTACTTCCCATTTTTTGAAATTACACACTTTAATCAGAGTAAACAAATGACGTTCAAAGCCCACCTCTTTCAGCTGAAGAATAGGACGGATCAGTGATCACTGCCAGTTTAACACGCCTTCTACGGCTCATCTAACTGGTCCTGCATGACAATGAACATCACACCGAGTTAGGCATGTGTCAGAATCCCCTTTAACATGGAATTCATGTGTGCGAGTGAGCAAGTGAGCGTGATGTTGTTTAGGGGGAATCAGCAAAATGTCAGTTGAATTAGGATAGGAAAACAAGCGGAAAGAAGTTGAAACTCAAGAAAACGTATGATTATGAGAAACCTAATTTCTCTGTTAATTCTAGGCTTTCTTGCAAGTAAAGTTACTCTGCTTTCTTGCAAATAAAACTCTATCCCTAGCCTTAGATTTAAACCCTAACTAATAATCTTTGACCAGTCCAGAAATAGAATAGGCTAGTACAATTAGAAATATCTTGCATCAGAGGGGAAGGGGGAGCGAGGGCAATGACCTGCACATCCGAAGTCCAGAGAGTAAGGTTATCCCTTAGCAGTTGCATAATGAGAGTGCTGTCCTTGTACGACTCTTCTCCCAGCGTATCAAGGTCAGCGATGGCTTCCTCGAATGCCTTTTTTAGAAAGAAAAACAAGCAATGTTTAATGAATATCCAAAATTAATTTATGATTTATTCTTAAATCTTACTATGACCAGCAACCATGCATCAACACCAAACAAGATTCCAAAAAATTGTTTTGAAACAAATTAAGATCTTTACACAATGATTTCAGAGGTTGGCCTCATTCCATTTATTCCCACCCACCCCCCCAAAAAAAAGAAAGATGATAGTGGGAAAATGGCAAACAATTCTTCACCTCCTAGCATAAATCTAATGAAATTTCGAAAAATTTTGGGCTAATTTGTTCCCAACCTAACTTCAACATCAAGTTTTTTTCAAGTTTGTTCACTGACCTATCATCATAAGAAACGACAGTTAACTACGTTGTTTTGACTCATCATTTTTCTTGAATATCAACCCTCCAGATATATTGAGCACTTTCTTGTTAAGGATTTGTTTTAGTAGATCTGCATAAAAAAAACATATTGATTATAGCTAATACCTAATTAACACTAGTTTCATCCCGAGTTCACAAATTTCAAAATTGTGTTTATAAGGTAATAGAATGATTAGAATCAAACAAATGTGAAAATGGAGCTATGTTCACAATCAACTGAACAAAACATTACTTGTCGCTTGAATTTAACTAATGATTTCAAATTTTGATGTATTACGCTCCAGATTAAATTAAACAGTGGATTTATTGTAAAATTCATGATAATATGGTAAAAAAACTGAGGAAAACGCACCTGTTTAGCCATGCTACATGCCTTATCAGTCTGATTTAGAATCTCATAGTAGAACACCGAGAAATTCAGAGCTAGCCCCAATCTTATCGGATGCGTTGATGCTAGATCCGCCAGTGCAATGTCCTTCATTCAATACAACAAAACAAATAAAATCCGACTTGAAAAAAGATGCAAAAATCTTTTTTTTTTAAATTAAGCCCTAAGGGTGCGTTTGGTTCACGGAATATAAGATTACCAGTGGGAATGTAAGATTACCAAGGAATAGCATTACTGGGAATGTTGTATTTTGTGTTTGGTTGGCTTAGCAGGAATGTAAGATTACCGTGTTTGGTTAAAGGAATAAAAGATTATTGGAATGTATATTTGACCAAATTGTCCTAATTATATATTTGTGTAATATTACAAGTTGGAAAATATTTATATATTTTCTTTAAAAAAATTAAATTCATAATATTTATATTTTTTTACAAAATTAAAATAAAAAAAGTTTAATGAAAGGGTAAAATTTTATTTAAACCCTTGACTTTATATAAAATTTTAATTATAGATTTTTTTTGTAAATCTAAAATAATTTAAGGATAAATTTGTAATTTAACATTCGTAAAATTTTTATTATTTGATGACAGAATAAATATATTTTTGAAAAAAAATAAAAATTTAAGGGCATTTTAGTCCAAAACGCCGGTAATCCAACAATACCTAAGAAAAGGGAGGTAATGACATTCCCGGTAATATACCCCAAAAAATCCACTATTGGTAATCTTACATTACCGGGAATAGGATTCCCGGGCTAACCAAACGGGGGAATGTGGATTCCATTCCCATGGGAATCCCACATTCCCCAATCCAAACACCCCCTAACAGTAAAATCATAATCTCCCAAGTCAAGCATCAAAATAGTACAATAAGATTCAATTAAACTATTTAGTCAAAGCTTGAGATGGAGTTCAAAAGTTACCTGAGCAGCCTTGTAAGACAACATGGTATCCTCAGCGGTAGCTTTCCTCTCATCACCAGCCTTAAACTCCGCCAAATAGCGATGATAATCTCCTTTCATCTTCAAATAGAAAACCTTCAACTCACTGGCAGTAGCAGAAGGGATCAGATTCGATTCCAGTAAAGTCAAGATACTAGCGCAAACATCTGACAACTCAGATTCAATCTTCGATCTATACTCCTTGACGAGCACAACGTGTTCCTCGTTCTTTCGACCTTCTTCTTTCTGCTCGATTGAAGAAACGATTCTCCACGCGGCGCGTAGGGATCCGATCACATTTTTGTAGGCGACAGAGAGAAGGTTCCTTTCCTCGACGGTTAGTTCGCCGGCTGGAGTTGAGCCGAGGACCAGCTTTTGCATGAACTGAACCATCTCCTCGTAGCGCTCGGCTTGTTCGGATAGCTTGGCTAAGTAAACGTATTGGTCGCGGCTCAGGTTATCGGGGACAGTCTTCGCCATTTTCCGAAATCGGTAGAGCTTCCGATGGAAAGAACCGTCTTTTTCTTACTTTGAGGTTGGTATTTTTGGGGGGCCGCTGAAGGTCTGAAGTTTTGAAGAGCTTTTATGTGGTCAAACTAAACAAAAGTCCATATACTAAGTATGTATTTCGAATTTAGTCCTTTTACTATAATTTTCATCATTTTAGTTTCCTATCTTTTAAAATGTAAATGTTTACCTTTTAACCTTGATGTATTTTTTCCTTTTAACTCCTTAAAATAATTTATCATTATTTATTTTCAAAATTTGATATTTTTTTAACCTTTGAAATACAAAAATATATAAAATCTTCAAGGATGGACAGAAGAGACAACTCGAACTATTGTCCCCATAAAAATTTTAAATTATCATATATTTTAGACGTTTCTTTATATTTTCTATTGATAATTTATTTTTTTACCCTAAAATTTTATAGGTTCATCTCTTTTTAAAATTTTAGAAGTTCACCCCTAACATAAAATTGTACATTCGTCCCTTATAATATTTACACAACTATATAACATAAATATTTTAAAATAGATGTGTTATGTCACCATATATTTTAAAAATTAATCATATCAAATTATTGTTCATAATTGATGAAAAAGTTGGTCTGAAAATTAAATACATATTCATAGTAGTATCAAATAAATGGAGGGAGCAAACCAGTCTAAATGCATATATAGGACCTTTTGTAAAATTTAACCTTTCACGCCTAGTTTAGGAGGCTAAAATGGTAATTGAGAAAATGAGATTAGAACAATTATTGTTCGTTTGTTGGGTGTTATTTTTAAAATAGATACTGATTACGAGTCGAGAAAAGTGGTACTGATTTGAAAAGTAATGGGAAATTTAAAAATGGAATTCCGGAGATAAGATTAACATTTTTGGTAAGTGGGACCCAACCCAGCTCGAAACGGTGCGTTTCAAGAATGGTAATGCCTCTTGCTCAGTCTATCCAAAGCCATAGTCTTCTATCGTTCTCTTTCTTTTGGCGGCTTTCATTCAGCTCCAAGCAGGCAAACAAATAAAAAATATGAAGTCTAATTTTCCGACTTATTAGTAAATTGGCCCTAAAACTATATTTTAACTTTCACATTGGTCCTTAAAGTTTTTTTAATCGATAGTGATACTTAAATTATTGTTTTTTTTCTCGTGTCACCCCAAAAGTGTATATCACCTAATAAAAACACATCACATAACCTACGACATAACTTTATTGATTGTTATTGTTTTAGGGTACATGATGTGATCCCAATCAGCTCTAACTTTCGTCTTGATCTGATTATATCATTGAAGTTCACCAAGGCTGATTCAAAGGGAGTTCTACCTTACTTCATCATATACCATTTTATCATATGTTTGTATTTACCTCTTAGGATATGCTTATCATATGATATCCATTGCATGAATTTGCATGAGTTTTATTAGTTGCAAGACATTCAATGCATTAATAAATATGTTGTTCATTAAGCATGCATTGCATTTAAGCATGTATTTCATTTAGGGAATAGTTCATTTATGCATCTAGTTATTTAATAAACTACTTCATTCATGCATTTAGTTCATTGAAATGTTATTTCATTAATCAAACTAACTCTTAATTATCCCATGCATATTACATGTTATGATTGAATAAAGTTTATCTTTGTGTCTAGGTGCATGAGAGAAGTCGAACGGTTTCAACAGATGCAAGAATGCCAGTCAGAATGTATTTTAATTCTGGATGTGATGCAGATGTTTTTGGGCCCAGAAATCAATTGGACATTATTCATCTATCTCTTAGCTATTCAACGCCTTTTGAATCACCTCAATCCGATATCGGGAGCTTGAGATATGATCGAATTACTAAAGGAAGTGCAGGCTGGCATTTTCATTACGGGAATTTCATGCATGGATTATTTGGATGAGTTTGACCCAAGGAAGAGTCCTTTCATCTTCTACCAAGATACAAGCAATTGAAGGCTATCTTAATTCTTCTATTCAAAGCAATTCAAGGATTAATTCTTTTTATCTTTTCAAGGCTGTTCATATTCTTGGAGAGACAATGCATTCAATCCTTCATAATTCACCTATTCAAGTCTTACTTATCATTCTTTGAAGGCTATCCACTTGCTACCAAGGAACAAGCAATGAAGGCTGATTTTATTTCATTTAATCATCAAATTAAGTGATAAAATCAGCAAGGAATTTGAAGAGACAAGCTGATTTGGACATGTAGGATGTCCACATTCATCCTATGGCTTCATTTAACCTCTTTTCTTCCCTTTGCAAGCAAAGAAAGGTAGCCCAAGAGTCACCCCTCATTCTTGGACGAAATTAAGGCCATATTCAACTTTAAATTATCTAGATTCATCCCCAAATGATCTAGAATATTCATCCAACTTTGAACATAAGAAGACAAAGCATTCAAGTGCATTTTATTGCTAAATTGATGAGAATGTTATAATCTTTTGAGTCTTTTCATATGCTTCTTAGATATACTATAAATAGGCACCTTTGGGATCATTTGTAGACACAATTTGATTTATGAAAACACTTTGAAAGATTGCTTTTATTTTAGTTCTTGGATTAGAACTCTATCGGTTTCTGTTGGTCTTGAAGTCTTTATCCAATTCATCTTGTTATAGCGTTGGTTCCTAGCTCTACTCTATAGCTAGTGGTCACGTTCCACCCTCTATCACTTCGATTCCATCTTTATTATATTGTTGGTTCCTAACTCACATATAGTTAGAGGGTCACAATCCATCCTTTGAATTACTATCATTCTCCACGCCAACCACAAACATCCTTCGCCATTTTTGTTACATCCATTCAACCATTATCACCACTACACCTCTTTCATTTACAATCCACTTCACCGCAATTCTTTCATTTACAATCCACTTCAACTTTACTCTATCATTTCCATTACTTTCATACATATATTTATATATATATTTCCCTTCTTATAACGTTGTTTGTACATTTTCAGTCTTCAATCAAAGCACTGCGAAGTTCTTACTAGAATCACGATCGGGCAACATCGTATATGACTCGGAACTCATAAACGATATCATATCATTTGATATCAGAGCTAGCCTATTCAGTAAGCATATCATTTCATTTTCTCTCTCTCGGGTTAGTAAAAAATAAAAAAAAATCAGAAAAAGTTGAAAAAAAAGAAAAGAAAAGAAAAATTTAAAGAGGGCGAGAGCAATCTTTTTCATCTTTGAAAAAATAATTAAGAAGGTTTCGTATTTGTTTCATCATTTGTTTCATTATCTTTACGATTTCATTACTTATTCTCGTCTTCGTTCTTTCTTGTAGCCATTTCTTTCTTTACCAACATTATTCTCCAACCGCCACAATTGTTTCAGCCGAAGTCTACGAGATGCCTTGTAAACCTCGAGGGAGTTCCACAAGAACTTTAAAGGAAAGCAAGAGCGGTAAAAGGCAAGAGTGTACGTTAAGGGTAAAAAAGCCATCCCGAGTGAAACACGAGAGGAGAGACTTTTCTTTGGAGTGTATTGGTGAGATTTTTTTGTTGGTGAGGTTTATTTTCATCTGTATTAATCTTTTCTTTTCATTATGCCTCAAAGGTATACAAGACCAAATGATTATACAAGAGACAACGTACGAGATTTTACATCGAATTCTCAATTTCAAGATTTCAATCAAGAAATGAGGAGTTTGCTCAAAAAGTATATCAACCCAATCTCAAAGAAGTTAGATCGAATAATCAAAAAAGGTTCTTGTTCACAAACACCTCCACCGAAGATCAAAAGGCAAGTAAAGAGGAGAGGCGACACTCGACATGTTTATAATTCTACATCCAATTGGAGTGAAAGATCTTACAAGAAGGATCCCAATTTTCAAAAAAGAAGAAATTTCAGAAGTTCAACGCGGAGTGAGCTAAGAAATTTTGCATCTTTCAATCCAGAAAGTCTATCTCGTCTTCAAGTGTGTTTTGATAATTTTGGCAAAAACACAATTGCAAGAACAACTACAAAATGAAAGTGTTTGTAAAAAAGAAGGAGAAATAAAAGTTGAAAAAGACATTGGGAGCAAAGAAAATAAATTTTGTGAAAAAATTGGGAAAGATGAGATTTTCGAAGAAAAAGAGTGACATTGAAAAAGAAATTCAAAAAGAACATGAGAGTGAAAATGATGAGTTTGAAAAAGAAATTGTTTGTGCAAAAAAAATGTGTCAAATTTCATTTTGCACTAACAAACTTAACCATTCTTCTTCTATTCTTGAATTTTCATTGTTGCAGGATGATGACTTCAAGAGACATTTCAAACACATTGCCAATCCTAAAGATGATCGAACATCGTCCATGCTTTAATCATGTTTCAAAGGAGGATCCAATAAAGTTTTCTATCACCAAGGAACCAGTGCCCAATAATCATCAAGCATCCTCCATGGTTAGATTTTTCCATTTCTTTTGTTATTGAATTATTTACTTCTAACTTTGATTTACTTTTCAGAGAGATGATTCAAAAACAAGGAATTGATGTATTGAGTTGTGAGGATAAGTTTCTTTGCAATCTTGAGATTAAATTACCACTCTCCATTTTTCAAATAGATGATTTGAAGCAAAGGCTATTCACCTACTCAAGAGCCATCATATGGAAGGGCACAAAGATTAAAGGAGATGGTGTAACCTACCTACTTGAAGGAGTTCAAAGGTCAAGACTCTTCACCCACCCTCATGATAATTCAAAGGAACACAAAGAAGGAGTGCAAGAACATATACCTATTTGGATGAACAACATGGAAATGAAGTGCACAAGCAAGCAAAACTTAATTCCAAAGAATTGTGTTTGTGCAAAACAAGAATGAAGAAGTTCCCAGCTAAAAGGAAGTCGAGATTTTTTCCTTTTGTAGCAAGAATCAATTTGGGGACAAATCGTTTTAAAGAGGGAGGGAATGATGTGATCCCAATCAGCCCTAACTTTCGTCTTGATCTGATTATATCATTTAAGTTCACCAAGGGTGATTCAAAGGGAGTTCTACCTTACTTCATCCTATACCTGCTTATTTATGCACTATATTTTATCATAT